CCTCAAAAAGGAAGGTGCCATGGTTAGGATGTTAGCCTGGGATTTAGGAGACCCAGTTTCAGTTTCTGGCTCTAACACAGACTTGCTGAGAGATCTGAGGCACTCAAGCGTTGCTTTGTTCAGCATTGCAATGCCTAACTGGGGTGGGCAATAAGTGGTAAATGTGCTCTGATGCTTTTTGTTATTCTAGCCTCCTCTTGTCATAGTTTTGTGGTCTTCTGCTGTATTAAAGGGAATACATGTTGACTGTGTCTAGACTGGCAAGTTTTTCCACAAAATCAGCCGCTTTTCCGGAAAAACTTGCCAGCTGTCTACACTGGCCGCTTGAATTTCCGCAAAAGCACTGACGATCTCATGTAAGATTGTCAGTCCTTTTGCGGAAATACTATGCTGCTCCCGTTCGGGCAAAAGTCTTTTTCCGAAAGACTTTTGCGCAAAAGGGCCAGTGTAGACAGCAGAGATTTCTTTTCCGCAAAAAAGCCCCAATCACGAAAATGGCGATCGGGGCTTTTTTGCGGAAAAGCGTGTCTAGATTGGCCACAGACGCTTTTCCACAAAAAGTGCTTTTGCGGAAAAGCGTCCTGCCAATCTAGACACGCTTTTCCGAAAATGCTTTTAACGGAAAACTTTTCCGTTAAAAGCATTTCCGGAAAATCATGCCAGTGTAGACGTAGCCGTTCTGTCGAAGAATCACTGGTTGGTGCCGCTCAGTGTACTGCCCAGGATAGACCAGTGTACTGCCCAGGATAGACGTGTTCAAGTGTTTGAAAAGGCCTTCCATATGATCCGCTTTGTCCTTGCTCTTCTAATGAAGCGGTTCTATTGTGCAACCCCATATGCTGCTGAAAACTCAGGCATGATCATACTCTCATGGTGTCAAGTATCAGAGGGGTAGCCATGTTAGTCTGAATCTGCAAAAGCGGTGAGGAGTCCTGAGGCACCTTATAGACTAACTGAAGTGTTGGAGCATAAGCTTTCTTGGGCAATCAATTGTGTCACAATCTAACCAAAGTGTGGGAGCATAAGCTTTCGTGGGCAAAGACCACTAGTAGCTACTAGAAGTGGGCCTCATCCTCATCCTCCCTGATTGGATCCACCTCGTCATCTCTAGCCTGATTCTGGCCTGCATATTTATACCTGCCTCTGGAAATTTCCACTACATGCATCTGACGAAGTGGGTCTTTGCCCACGAAAGCTTATGCTCCAACACTTCAGTTAGTCTATAATGTGCCACAGGACTCCTCGCCACTTTTGTATAATCTCATGGAAGCTGATTTTCAAAAGCCCTTAAATGACTTGGACATTTTTTAAAATCCCCCTGTTTGTACATATGATTGAAGCCAATGGTGCTGCCTGCATGAGGGACAGTTGCAGTCAGGCACTGTCGGCACTAAGAGCATGCTGCCCGTGCAGGAAGCATTCCTTTGGCAGTGAGATGGAGCACCTCTCCTTGCAGTGAAGGCAGTGCTGTCTTTAAAGTCCTAGGAAAATGTTGGTCCAGCCTCAGCTGAAAAAAAAAGAGAATGAAATTGTGGAACTGTAAACACTGCTGACTCCTGGGAGCCTTCTTCCTCCACATCTGAGACTGACGTCTAATGCCAGACTCAGATACCATAGTAGTAAAGTCTGGCTATGAATCCAGTGATACTTGTGATCCTTCCTAACCAGAGGTGAAAGTAAGCTGGTGCCCCACTGTAGTAAACGCTGGTTGGAATGCTCTGATGCAGGAGAAGGTGGGGTTAGCTCCCAGCTGGACTCCCGGGGCTCTCCTGCAGACTGTCATGGCAAGCAGCAGACAGGTGAAAGTTGCTGGCTGAGGACAACCCTCCTCCTACCAGTCCAGGACTGCTTCAGCCCTGATTATTCCCAGGGCACCCTGTAGAGAGGGCAAGGGAGCTGAAGCTCCCTCCCACCCATTGCTGCTGATGCTGCTTGTTGTGTGCTGTTCCTCTTCCATAGCTCTCAGGGAGCGAGAGGAAAGTACAAAGCTCATCTGCCTTCCTCACACTCCTGGCTGCAAAGGGGAGGGGGCAGAAGTGAGTGACCTACACTATGTGCTGTCCTCTCGCTCCCTGACAGTGATAGAAGGGGAGGTAATACAACAGTACCTGTAAGACATTTAATTAACTTCCACATCTGTTCCTAATAATGTTCTTTACAGTCTTTTGGGTCAAGAGATTGACATGACTTCACAGCTCTGATTTCCATTGTGGGTATCTTATAAGTGTTGACCCACTCATACTCGACAGGAGTGCTAAATGCCAGTAGTGTGCCAGTTTTAGAACCACCCCTATCTTTCTTATTATATTGTGTTGCCTGTCTGCACATATATACAGAATAAGCTAGTGAAGGAAGCTTAAAATCCTTCCTGTTCTGCAGGATATTTCCTTCCCTGAAGACTGAAATCTAATGAATAGCAGTGAGTTTTTGGGAAAGTATTTAATGTTCCAGGAGTGTGTAATTTGTATATAATAATGGCTTTGAGTTTATGGTTATGTCATAATGCATAGTTTAGAGCTATGCCCATTAAAATATTATGAAAATGATGCATTTTCAAATCAATAGAAAACATATTAGAGAAAATATTCTAGCATTTTTTGGAAAATGTAGAATACACAGATGTACGTTTCTATTTGGTAATTCTGGGGAGAGCAATATAACTGAGGTTTAAACATATCTTGATCTAATAATGTTTAAATATTTCAACACCAGTGTATTGACTTCCAGCTGAAACTAGCCTTCCATAAAGTCCTATGGATAAGTTTTAGAAGAACTGGCCCTTACATTAAAATAAAATGAAATCAAAAGATTTAGCCCACCTTTTTGGACTAATATGCTGCAGTTTTTCATTTTACACATTAAAGACAAAAAAAGCAAAAAATAATTTGAAATTGTTTTTTCTTGCATTTGCATTTCTGCATGATAAGTTTAAAAACTTGCTAGTAGGTACTTTATAATAAGAAGATACAGGAAAGGCAGTAAAATCATATGGTGCAATATGTTGCTTTCTTAGCTCAACACAGTCATATTTCTGCTCTGCCTGAGATATCAGCAAAGGCCACTGCTGTGCACATTTTGATAACGTGTGCTCAGCTCTGCATGATTGAGCTGACAGAAATATAGTGGAAAGTATCTGATAGTTTTATAAGCTGCATTTTATTTCTGGAGGTCTCATTTAAAAATGGGTGACCTTGACCTAAGAATAATTGAATAAATAACTACAAATGGTTTCATTTATCCCTCATTCAAGATCCTTGACTTCAAGGTGAATTGGCCTATGTATCTCCCCAACTATTAAGTAGCCAAATTTTAGCAAGTTGTTGCTGCATGCTTATCCCCCTTACTCTCACTAAAAGCAGATGTCAGGGATGCCTGCTATTTGCTGATGGAAGAAGCTAAAATTGCCATCTGGCTCTTCCTCCCTTCACCTCAGTCGGAGATGTTAGGAGCCTATTGTGGGAGAACTTGAGGAGTCAGCCTTACTGTATTTCCTGGCTTCTCATACTTTTGCCCTCTTAAGAGTCCAGTAGCGTGATTTATGTTTCACATTTTTGTCTTAGAAGGTCCTGGATATATTTGGACTTGGGGCTTTGGTCCATCATTAAGCAAATGAAAAGGAGCGGTACTCTTTCTGATTGCTAAAATTCACCACAGAGTCCATAAAATTATTAGGCCATGACATAACAATGCCATGACATATGTTAAACAAACATCAACAAGTAGCATTCTCAGTCATCAGTAATAGCAACGTGTCGCTAGATTTCAAAACCTGTTGGCTACGTCTAGACTGGCATGATTTTCTGGAAATGCTTTTAACAGAAAAGTTTTCCATTAAAAGCATTTTCGGAAAAGAGCTTCTAGATTGGCAGGACGCTTTTCCGCAAAATCATTTTTTGCGGAAAAGCGTCCGGGGCCAATCTAGACGTGCTTTTCCGCAAAAAAGCCCCGATCGCCATTTTCATGATTGGGGCTTTTTTGCGGAAAAGAAATCTCTTCTGTCTACACTGGCCCTTTTGCGCAAAAGTCTTTCAGAAAAAGACTTTTGCCCGAACGAGAGCAGCATAGTATTTCTGCAAAAAGCACTGGTTTCTTACAGTAGGAAGTCAGTGCTTTTGCGGAAATTCAAGCGGCCAGTGTAGACAGCTGGCAAGTTTTTCCGGAAAAGCTGCTGATTTTCTGGAAAAACTGGCCAGTCTAGACACAGCCATTAAGCCTTGGCAAAGGTCAAGCAAATGATTGGCTGAAATGATGAGCCATACATCATACCCTACAACCGTGGTCCCCAACCATTTAAGGTTGCCGGTCACCAGGGGGCATGGCCGTTCTTCAAGGGAAGCCACAAGTAATGTGCAATACATAAAAAATAATTATTTACACTTGTGGGTGGTCTAAACGCTTTTGTTTATACTGTTTCGTCTTAATTAAAAAATGATACATTTTTCCAGTATAGACAGTGCTCTAATGTGGCGGGGGTGGGGAAAAAGGATTGAATAGGCTATTGGTACTGAACTGCAGAAGTAGTTCTTCTGGACCAGAATTTCAGCCCTCTGGTGAAGCAGAGGAGAGCTTGCACTTCAGCCACTCATTCTGCATCTTGTTACAGAGATGCGTTTTCAGGACAGAATCTGGAATCTTTCATTTGCTAAACACATTTGGAAAAAATGCAACTCAAATATATTTACAAGAGTTGACTTGTGCTGCTACATTGTATCTTAAAGAACATTTAATCTTTACTTGATTTTCCACAGCTTATTTTGATTGATCAAAATTCTGAATTTGGCAGTTTCTCAAGCAGAAGTTGGGTCTGGTTAGCAATAAAACGTTTAGTGCTGAAATCTTAGCCCATTTAAAATAATGGAGTCGGGATTTCATCCCAGTGATTGTCTGGCCCATGTTATGGGACCCTAGTAAACACCTCTCTTTACAAAATAATCACAGAACAGAAAGATTTTCAGCTTTTGTGCATAATATACCAATATATTTTGTTTTTTCCCCTCCAGAATAAATCATCATGCAGCTGTAGAGTGAAGCCGTCTTTCCAGAAAGAAGTTATTTAAATAAGCAGCTGAACTGTACACCACATGCATGGATTAGGAAAAGATTTTCTGTTCTCAGTCTGCATAGCAAGAATGTACCGAAAACACAGTAGAAAGCAGCAATGAAATAAAGGATTGTTACCCAGTGAATTATCTTCTCATCTTTACACAATCCAGCTTAAGCAGTACCTGCACATTTGTCAGCCTCTTCTATTCACAAGTTGAGATTCTCCTTTGCTAACCTGGAGTAATGCAACATAGTATTTGTACACTACATAGCCTTTAAGGTATTAACATGACAACCAGCAGCCGCACATGTCCAGTACCAACCGTGAATGGACATATGAATCACTATCCAACAGCCCCATATCCATTACTTTTTCCTCCGGTCATCGGTGGACTTTCACTTCCTTCTCTTCATGGACTCCAGAGTAACCCACCAACAAGTGGATGCAGCACCCCATCACCTGCAAGTAAGTGCTCAGTTATTCATTCTTAGCTACTATGGTACAATCTCGGAATTTTAAATACCTCAAGAATGGTGGTTGTCTGTAATTCTGAACAAAACACTACAGTTGTTTTTTTCAACATTTACAACTGAACATTGATTTTATACAGCTTTGAAATTTTACTGTGCAGAAGAAAAATGGATCTTTCCCTTTATTTTTTAGTATTTTACTGTATTGTATTTGCTGTGTCTTTGGTGTGTGTGTTTCTGCTGCTGCCTGTGTACTTGCAGTTCTAAGTGAGGTATGTGGTTGACTGTTCAGTTGGTAATTCTGATGTTCATAACTCAGAGGCTATGTCTACACTACAGGGTTTTTCCGGTATACCAAAGGTACCCCAGAAACACTCCGCTGTGTCTAGGGAACGTGTCTGCTCTTCCACTTTTTTTTTGCAGAAGAGCAGATGAACTCTTTCGGAAGCCCTGTCTTCCTCCTCCCACGAGGAAGAAGGGCTCTTCCGGAAGAGGAAGCTTTTCTGAAATTTGGCCTAGTGTAGACAGGCCAAATTTCAGAAAAGCCTCTTCCGAAAAAACTATTGGAAAAAGATACGCAAATTGCGGAGCGCAATTTGCGTACCTTTTTCCGATAGATTACTGTTGTGTATATGTAGCCTGAGGTTGTACTGTTATTTCCTGTATTAAAGAATGAATATTTTGATGATTGTAAGCTTAATTAAGCTGTTAATTTGCCAGTGATCTCCCTTTCTTTAAAAACAAACTTATTTTGAAATGATTTTTATTTTTCTCTGACTTTTTAAAAAATAAGAAACATGCAAGAGTATTAAATATTCCAACTATGAAAATCAATGATAAAACCTACTAGATAACATTAGGAAATCTAACACTGCTCTTCATTGTTAACTGTGGTGATATTCTGTCATACGTCCATAGGTTAGACCTATGTTTTTTTTAATAAATCATACAGAAAAATAATTTCACCTTCCATTAGCAAATAGCTATTGTTTATGTTAGCATATCATTAATAGTGTTTTTTGTTTTGTATTAAATACCAATTGCTTCCCTGTTGCATGCCATACTGAAGACCCAGTTTTAAAGGTGCACCCTGAACACCTGGTAGAATTAAAAATTACAATCAAGGCCTTTGTATTCATTTGAAACTCATATACAGGGGTATGGTGCTCTGTTATCTGTTTTATTCTTTTTGAAATGTTGGAGTTTAATATTACTAAGAGTATACTAGCCAACCAGATTTATTTTCAGTGCTTTTTAATGAATAATGCTATGTTTTTGCTAAGACTTATTTTCAAATACAATGAAAGGAGTGGCTTTGGGTCCATGATATTCTCAGTTGCACTGATGTAAATTCAGTGTAACACCATTTAAGGAGAATGAGGTACTCTGTATTTTCTGTGGTGCAACAGTGCAGAGTTGGGCCCCACATGAGGAAAAACAATGCATGCTGGATGGGATATTGGGGGTGTATTCCGTTTCACAGCTCCCATTTATTTTTCTGATGTTTGTTAAATGGCCCTGCTTTTCAATTCTCCGTATTAAGAAGTCTCTTTATTGATCAAAAAGCTTCAAAGGGCTTGCAGAATATTGATATTCGTTAGTGAAACAAAGGGAGAAGTGTTTTAACAGCTGCTAAAATATGTGTTGGAGTAAAAAAGCATGCAAAGTTTTTTGTTCCAGACAAGAAAGGAGAATAAGTAAGAGAACCATAGCAGTGAAGAGGAAAGGCACATTTAGCATAATACACATTTAATCCTGAAGAAATTCAAACACTTGTTAATGCCAGTCTAGGTGCACCCATTATGTGTGAGCTCCTGGACTCACTGAAATAAATGTAAGTTTTGATATTACTTCAAGAAGAGTATGATTTCCCCATGCATGAGATCACATGCTGATGTATTAAATGTTTGCAGAATCAGGCTCTTATTTTTCTTGTTTTATTAAATTGGATGATTTCTTTTATAGGATCTAAAGAAGAAGCACCTTCAAATTAGAAAATATTGTAAGCATTTGATTTCCCCAGTCCCATTAGAAGCGATCAGAATACTGAACTAAGTTTTTGCTCTGATGTTGCATGAAAGTTCTTCTTTCACATGGAGCAGATAGATTTTTAGTCCACAGCATCTTTTTGAGGATACATATTGGTAAACATCCAGAATATACAGGACTGTATATGTACAATTAATTGTTCTCTGCTACAATCATGTTCTAATTACGTTAAGATAGTATTGAAATCAAATCCGTAGAAGTTGGGACTGCTCAGCCTGTCTGAAAATCAAGCAAAATGTGTATCATAGGCACTCAAAACAAATGTCTGTTTTTGAAAATTTAGGAATGTCTCTAACTCTCTACTGTCATGGTCTGATCCTCCAGTTTTCTGTATTTTCAAAGGTGCTTACCTAAGTCAGACACACTGACCCATATGTATGCATTTAAGTAAAGTTAACTTGATTTTTTAGCAGTGCTGAGCAACAACAGTTCCCACTGACTTCGCTGAGCATAAAAATCTGGTCACTTCAGAGCCTAGCAGGTGCCTCCATTTGAAAATTATGGCCTCTATGTGACATGTTAAGGAGGCTCAACTGAACAGACATTTCTTTGGGGGGAAGATATCCCTGCAAGAGAGCTGGCCCTTTTGGTTGATATGTCTTATCAGCTTTCCAGTCCTATAGAAATGGCAGCTTGTTTTGAATGTAAGCCTTCAGAGTTCTGGTAGATTCATGCAGGAGCTCTGAGTCAAGAACCCAGTGCATTAACTTTTGATCTCAAGAGGCCTGGATTCGGATTCGTGAAAGTAGTCAGAGTGGCCTATTCTAACTAATTGTTCCACGTCACATAACTACCACATGGTTTGGTACAGTTCAGCATGATCAGCAATCATGCTATTAAAATGAGATCCAGGACTGGACCCTGGGGGGAATACAGTTTTGTAGTGAGAAGCTATATGTGGGGCTCCTCCCAGTGTCTGTCTGATGTCCTGATTTATATGCAACTATCCTCAGTGCTATTTATTTTTCAACTTCCTGAGCTCAATATTCACAGGAAACAATATTTTAAATAATAGGAAGTTTGTCAGGAATAAAAAAAAAACTCTGGACCCTTTATTTTTTTTTAAAACAACGTAATTTGTCAACTTTTGTTCAGAGCTGTCAAAGCTGGTACAATTTGTTCTGAAAGACTTCATATTATTTTACAGTACTATTTTTTGTTCTGTGGTGACTTCAGACTCCTTGCATTACTCCAAATACCGATAAATTCAGTCATCTTGTATCTATAGTTGGAACTGACATGTCATAGAAATTAGGAGCCCTTTCTCCTATTGAATAGACAAAAGGCTTTTAGACAGATTATTTTTATGAGCATAAGGGGCCTACAGTAAGAACTGGGTTATAGTGAATTAATTTCGCTGATGCTGAGAATGGTGTTGACTTCTTCACCTATGACTTGATTTCTGTTTTTAGACTGAGATGCATAGTAAAAAATATTTCATAATTATAAGGTTGGTCACAATGCTAAAAAGGTCAGTAACAGAAAAAGTTTTACTTTTACACATAGGTTAACTGTATATTAACATTGAAATGAAGAAAAGAGACCGTGGTTAAGAAGATAATTACTTTTATAAGCATGATTGATTTACCCAGTGCTGTATTAACCTGAGGCAGTGCAGAGCAGAAATTTTCAAAAGTCACGTTTGGGAGAACTCAGTGTGCAGGCTTATGCAACAGTATTCATAATGATGAACCACAAAATAAAACAGCTTTTCTACTTTAAAATGAAAAACAGCTGAGATAGTTACAGAAGAGCTGGTTTAGTAATGGTATTTCATGCCTCAGTGGGTTATTGCATTCTCGGTTCCTTTGGATATGGACCCATGAAAAAGTTCTCTGGTTATTCTGTCTGGACAAATAAGTTCTCCTTGGGACCTAAGCAGGGACTATGACAACAAGGAAGAAAATGGAGCTCAGATCTACATTAATATATTTTAAATCAGAGTCATGCACCTGCAGCTGTTGAGCTGGTTCATTTTCAAATGATGTCCCTATAGGCGCTCCTCTTGTAGGTATGGTAGTGCCACCTATGGGAGCAGAAATGTTCATCAGCAGTACCCAGTGGTCCACACATGCTCATCTTCCCTCTCTTGCCCCATGCATGATACAGATATATATTTATATTTATATATATATATAGAGAGAGAGAGAGAGAGCGAGAGAGAGAGCGAGCACACTGTGTGGTCAGAACACTCCCAGTTTGTTCTCTGCTGCCTTTGGTCTGAGACAGGTAGTATTTTCTTCTCTTCCTTTCCACTTCTATCAAAAATTACTTTATTTTATCTTTACCTTTTTAGTCTTTCATAGCTTGAATTTCTGTTTTCCCTTGCTTCCCACCCTTCCCAATTGTGAAGCCTTTCCCTGCACCCTTATGCCTGGATCCCTCTGGTTTAAGAGATGCATTTCTTGTGGGGCTTCCTTCCAGATAATGGATGGCCACACAAAGTGTATCCGCTGTCTGAGAGAGGGACATATTCCACATCTTCTGTTGCTTTGGACTGACACCAAGGGCGAGAAAGGACTGGAACATTAGATTCCAACTCCTCCTTATGGAGAAGTC